GCCCTCCTGAGGTGGACACTGGAAAGTGAAGCCCCTCTCCGGGCTGCAGATCCACAGCTTTCAGTCACAGACACTTTCCTACTTGACCACTGCTAAATCATCCACTTCAACTCATGTTAAATTACATGCATCACATTAAAGAGCACAAAAAGGAAATGCTAAGGAGACTGCTAATGAAAAAATAGGAAAAGAAAACCCTAGAACATGAGTGAAAAGCTATTTATGCACAAAAACTGACAACATCCAGGATGTGGAGTTAACTCTTCACAGAAGGGGAACTCTGCATGGGGATTTGGTGGAAAGAGAGTTTTTTTTCTTTTCCTTTTGAAGTGGCTGTGATTGCTATCTGGAGAACAGGGAAAAGAACGCTTTCTAGCTCTTGCTGAAGAGTATCCTGAGGTATCTGGATGCTTTTAAGTTCTTATTAGAGAAAAAATATTTTATTGAGGTATAAAGACTTTCAAGTAGGAGAATAAATGAATATCCTCTGATTCAAAATCTGGATAAAGTGAAAACAAATCCAACCCTGTACCCTGTACCCTCGGCACTTTGCCCTGGGGTGGCCCTCCTCCCTTATGCTCCTCTCTCTCCAGGGCAGATGGGCTTCGGGGAGCTGTCCATCAGCTGTGGTGGCTGCAGCGGGTGGGTGGGGTCAGCCCACCAAGGCTTGAGGGAGGGCGTGGGAACCAGGGAGCCCCAGCCTGGCACACAGCACAACACCACAGCCAAGTCCAGGGCCATCCTACCACCCAGCCAGCCCTTCTCATTCAAATGTGGAGTCCAAACAATAGCTTTCTGGGCTCTGCAAACAGAATTGTAACAGGAAAACATAGCATCCTTCTGATGCTGAGCCAGTCTTGGGAAAATGACTGGTGCCAAAAAAAGTTGCATAATTAGCAAATGGCTTTCGCTGCTTTCAGTGACATCAGTCTGTAAGGTCAGGCCTGAGGCTGCGGATTATGGTCTCCAGTGCCTGTGCTGTCAAGGGAAACACAGAACCATCTGTTTTTGAGAAGTTTCCATCTGCACAGCAAATGACAAACTGGGGTTAATACCTCAATTTATTTGGGGGACACCAACTGTGGCAGCCAGCCATGTACTTGAGGGCAGTCTAGTCCATCAAAACCAAAGGTTGAGCTCAAAAGTAGACAGGTTTTGAAAATGTATTTGAGAAGTTTCAAATTTTAGAATAAGTATATATGCATTTAGAATTCAGGTGACATTAAACTGCTCTCTTATTATCAACAGTCTTAATGGAAAATACCGGGCCCCTTAAGTCCCTGAAAGGGCAAGGAACATTTGGAGAGGTCATTTCCCTTTGTATAACACTTTTATCTTTTGTTTTTGCTACGTTTTGGTAACTATAGAATCTCCAGGACTCATTCTGGATAGTCCCAAGAGATGGAAATATAATTAACAGTGTTCCATATAAAACACAAGTTACGTAGACCATCACACTTTAATTGCTCTCAGGATCTGACTCTAATGTAATAGGCATCAGGTTCCCTCTGCAGCAAAGCACAGCGGTCTTGTGCTGGGCCTCATAGATCTCTCTGATACTTCTGTACAGGGCTGTCACTGCACTGAGATGCTGCACTGCGATAAATGAATCAGATGATGCAATTAGGAAGCAGGTTCTTCAGGTTACCCTGCAATCACTCAGCCTGCCTAGCTCTCTACACTGCAGGCCCTGGGTGCTGGAGGAGTACAGCCCCCACCAAGCAGGGGCTTCCAGTTCATCGTCTGTGCTGTAATTACCTCCTCAAAACAAGAGGCACAGAGAGGTCACATCCTGTCAATGCCACAATAAATTAAACCAAATAACACCCTCTAGAATCCCCCTTTAACCATAATAAAGGCTTTGAATCTCTACACACATGCTCCTGATAAATGCTTTGAAAAATGAACTGACTTCGAAGCTGTTTGATGGAGGGAAGGTTATGGAAACTGAAGACTATACAACATGATGTCTGAAGAGGGGCTGGTTTCTCTTTCTCATCGGCTGTGCTCACTTGAAGTGCTGCTCAGGTCCAAGGTTCCCAGGTAAAAAGAATGTGGATACAGTACAGAGAAAAACCATAAGGAACAACAAAAGGTACAGAAAAGTCAATGGCAATGAAGTTTCCCATTGAGAGATTTAAAGAAAATTTACTAAGTACCTTGGAAGCAAAGAGCCCAGTTACTTTATTTTACCACTGAAAAACATCAGAGAAAAAGTATATTATAGCATACACATTTAAGTTAGAAATAAAGAAATTTACCAGAGGTAATTTATTGTCTTAAATAATCTTGGAAAGGGCTGTAAGAAAACTTCCAAAGTTTTTATTTTGAATTGTGTTGTAATAATTTTCAAATAAGGTACATTCTTACTTCTTGCCTCAAAATGTGACTCTTAACAATGATGATGTCAACAAGCAGTAATTATCCATAAAATATACCCCCTTTCGGCTCTCTCAATCCTAACATATACCTGTCTTCCTTTCATTTTTCCTATCAGAAACCAAACTTACATCATTTGGGTCCAGTCTGGGCCACCATCAGGTGCCTAGCAGTGCAGGTGAGGCACTGGCTACTCCACACTTGCCAGGGAGGCCTGGCCACAAAGGCAGAGAGGGGCTGTGACGTGAAGGTGAGCAGGCCCCAGGTGGCGAGAAACAAATGGAGAGGCTACTGGCTCCATCATGATTCCATATGTAGTATTCACTTGCAAGAGAAAGAAGAAACAGGAGGCTCCAGCAGAATCAGCAAACAGAAGTGTCTAGGAGGTGGGCTGTGTGAACCCAGGGCAGGGTGGCCCAGCCAGCCAGTGCCTTCTTCAGCGTAGACCAATGGCCAGTGGACACCCTCTTCCCAGGTTCCTAGCCCTCGACATGAAATCAAGTTGGGCAGCATTGCTCCTGAACTCACTGTCTCCATCTCTACCATGAGAAGACTTTTCTGTGCCAAGTGCCCATGGGTGACCAGAGCAAACGGGAAAACATGGTGGAGTCCACTGAGGTTCCTGGAAGAGAGATGCTGGAGGACTGCAGCACTTGCAGTATGTAACATGTGTCTTGCCATGTTATGTTTCTTCTGAATTTTACTAAACTGGTATTTTAACAGTGATTAATGTGACCAAGCTTTGATAGCGCCAGATCCATTTTGGGCTTTCTCTTGTAACACAAGTTGTGCTGGAGCCACACTGGCAGCTGTGCACTGATACATAAGCAAGATGGCTGGTGTTCTGGACCCTTCCCTCCAAACCTGCCACCTAGAAGCTAAGCTAACACACTGATGGGCATATAAATACTTGTGCCAGTGGGCTGCCACTGGGGACATATCCCCTGTGAGTTTACATTCTGAAAGGTAGTGATACTGGAGTCCTTGCCTGAGCTAACAAGAGCTTTACTTCATTGCTGAGGCAATGAAGGGCAATGTGAACCTGTCTCAGTATTGCCTTGAAGTGATGGGTCTCCCAGACCACTTGGACATTTACTTCATGGATGCATAGTGCTTGGTTCATTACTAGCACTCTATGTTAGTTTAATTTTGTTTTACCTTTGTAGGTGGAAAGAGAGAGGACAGGGTCTTGTCAAGCTGGCCTTGAACTCCTGGTTCAGATGATCCTCTTGCTTCAGCCTCCCAAATATCTGGGATCACAGGCATGCTACCACCACACTCAGCTTCTTTTACCTATTTTCATATATTCCTTTGGCTTGATTTTACTTATTCTGGTTTTGGGTGTCCTTCAATAAACCAGCTCATTTGGAAACTATCTTTGCCTTACCTGGCTTGGCATTTGATTAAAGGATAAAGAAACCTACCCCCTTTGAAGGAAATAATCTGTGAAGTGAAACTGTCCCTAGGTATTTGGGAAACAGGGCCACCCTGGCTCATCCAGTGTGACATGTAATTTTTTTTTTTGTACCGGGGATTGAACTCGGGTCCTGGCGCTTGTGAGGCAGGTGCTGTAACCACTGAGCTAAATCCCTGGCCCTATGTAATTTAAAAATATTTTTTCTTGGGTGCATTGGTCTTTTGCTCCTGTTTTTACAAAATGAGTGTTGACTCCACACAGCTGCCTCCAACGGAAGGGAGACACCTTGACCAGCCATGCCCTGACACTGCTACAGAGCCCAGCACTGATGATGCAAAGTGGTCCAGGTGACTGCCGAGTCCACCACCTCAGAGCTGAGGGGAAGGGAGACACCATGAGGGGAGACTGCAAGGCTGACAGCCTTACCCAAAAAACTCACAGAAATATTAGTTGTTTTTGTTGCTTTAATCATTTTTCTGGGGGGTTGTTTTGTCTTTCTTGCATATTTTATTTTTCCTCTAGTGAAAAGCTGAGTTTATTTTGTGCATGTTTTTGTTAAGTGATTGCTGCCCTCCCTTGTAAGATCTTCAGTCTTAAAAATTTACTCCTTGGGCTGGAGATTTAGCTCAGTGGTTCCACTGCCTGCCTTGCAAACACAAGGTCCTGAGTTCGATCCCCGGTTCCAAAAAAATTTACTCCTTGTGTTGAAATAAGAAATATTATTTTTAAAAAGCTTGTACCCCTGGCCTCTTCCAGCACCCTCAGGGCTGCACTCCATGCTCAGCAAAGACACAGGGCCAGCGAAGAGCAGAGCTCAGTTCCCTTTTCCTGTGTTAACATCTGTCAGTGGGTAATGAGAAGGCAGGTTGCAAGAGTAACTGATGCATCACCTTAGAGTGAATCATGGATAACCCGCCAATATAGCATTCCTTTGGGGAACCTACCCCCTCAATGGCTGTTGTCCAAATATGTGATACAAGGTGCAAGAATCAAGCAAATCTTGAACCTCTCTCTATATGTGCCAAGTATGCAGACAAGCCACTATGTTAGGTATTTTCAAAATAAAATGTAACCACATGATTATTTTTAAGGTTCCAATGCTCTTTTGTCTGTATCCCTCCTCCTCTTTTTGTTCCTTATCTAAAGGAAATGATTTCCAGCATCTCTTCTCAGGCCCTTCTCATCACCAAAGCCCAGCACCTACCAGCAATGAATCTTTTATAAAGCATTCGATTCTTCTCAGACTATTTCTCTCACGAGAGATCAGCTTTGCAAAAAGATGTAGCATTGCTTTTTCAAGGCTGGGAAAATGCCGAAGCCAGAGGCTGACTACAGCTGGTGTGGGGAGAGAAATCTTCTTCCTTTAAGCAAGAAACAAGCAAAATGTTAGACAGAAATGGACTCTTAAAGAAGATGACAAACAATTTTCAAAATGCAATTACTAATCCAATTTGTGCAGCTATTCCCCATGGTCCTAGCAGCTGTTAATATTTATTGTATCTGTGATTATTTATTGCAAACTCATTTGCAAAGCAATATAACTATGCTTTCATTTCAATTCACCTTAAGAAATCAGAGAAATGCTGAGGAAAAATGTGCTTTCAAAAAGGATAAGCAAATACATACTAAAGAAAAAAAAGAGAATGATAAAAAAAAATGAGTTGAAAAAGGCCTTGGAATGTCCAGGTAAATGTAATCCCCAACTTAAGAAGATTTGCTTTTGATAGTTTACAATGTGGAATCCCAGGGCCATGACCTATTATCTGTATGACCTTGGGGGAAGTTACTTAACCTTTAAACCTCACTTTACTCATCTGTCTAACGGGCCTGGCTCCTTTACAGCACTGTAAGGATCTAATGCAGTTACACATGTATAGTCATTAATATAGTGCTCAGCACACTTTGAATATTCAAAACTCTATTTACAAATCTGTTGCTTTAAAGTTAATAAATGTTTTTGTTAACGATTTCACACGTGGTAGTTATGGTCTAGTTAATGTACAGAGGACCTTAAGTACGATACACCACAGACTCAACCATTCTGTGCAACTATGTTTATGGGGGTGGGGGGGATCCTGTGTCAGTGATGTGAGGCTCTACTTCCCCTCCTGGGAGGAGACATGAAGGAGTCTTACATTCTGAGCCCTGGCTCTGAGATGGCCATACAGCTGGCCTCCAGGGCCTGCCTCCTGACCTTCCTGCCCCATCCCACACAACAGGTGCTTTGAAGCCCCCCCAAAGATGCTTACCATTGTCAATAAGGAAGCTTGAACTGGGGAGAAATCTCCACATCACTCAAAGACCCTCAGAGCCTGTCCCCTTGTCATGAATCCTGGGCCACTTCACTGCAGAGCTGGTATGAAGCCAGGCATGAAGCCCAGGAATGGGGATGGGGCATGGGCAGGATCTATCCCCAAGGGCTTCTCCCTTTTCCTCCCACAGGCCTTGTCTGGATTTACCTTGGGCTACAGAAGAAGTGGAAGGTGGGAGGTGGGGTGGAGGAATAGTAGAGGGCAGAAGGAAGGAGGGAAAGGCAGAGCCCCTTCCCTGATCTCCCTAGCCCCACACCTGGCACAGAACTGCCAGTGTCCATACCCCTCAGAATGGAAAAAAGGGAAGAACAGATTTGTGAAGGGTTTACCAAGAGCTTGGTTTGGCATGTGTGGATTTACAGTGTGGGAGGCACAGGTGAGCAGAGACATCAAACATATCCTTAAATGTCAAAGGTCTGGCTAAAGGCACACATCTGGGAGGCATCGTGGGTGTGCACTCAAGGGAAGAGCTCCAAGTGGGACAGCCCAGAAGCACCAACACTGAGGTGTCAGGCAGAGGAGGAGGGTGACACAGGCAGAGGAGAATGTCGTCAGAGCTCAGAAGAGATAGGACTTCAGAAGGAAGGGCCAGCTGAGACCAATACTGTGGAAAAGCATTAAGGCTGGCTATCCAGGCTGGCTCTGGGTGGAAGCAGAAGAGGGTGAATGCAGGGGAGGAACTGGAAGTGGAGCCAGAACTGGAAATGAGTCTTCAGAAAGATGTCTGTTGGGCGGGGCACCGGGAGGTAGCCTGGGGGGTGGCCTTGGAAGGTGACATTTTGAAGACCACATCGCTGATTGCTGATGGGCAAGATATTTACTGTAGCAACACTGTTAAGACAGCAGATTACAGTACAGTCCATTTGCTTCGAGGAATGTGCTTCTATTTTTAAGAAATGAGCTGGATCTATATCCCATGAAGGATATCCAAAGAATACCAGTTAACAAAAAAGTTTCAGAGTGACAGGTATGGTATGATGCTATCTTTTGTTTGTTTTTAAAAGCTACTTTAAAAGAGATAGAAAATTAGGGCTGGGGATTTAGCTCAGTGGTTCTGGCACCTGTCTAGCAAACGCAAGGTCCCAAGTTTGATCCCCAGTACAAAAAAGAAAGAAAAGAAAGAAAGAAAGAAAGAAAGAAAATTTCTGGGTACAGTGATGCATACCTATAATCCCAGCTACCTGGGAGGCTCAGCCAGGAAGATCACAAGTGTGAGCCCCTAGGTTCAATCAGAGAGAGAGAGAGAGAGAGAGAGAGAGAGAGAGAGAGAGAGAGAAGAGATTGAGAAAGAACAGCTTTATATAAGAATATAAGGCATGACTATCAAAAGTACTGGAGAATGATAAGGAAGAGATATTTAATAGTTTCTGTACATACCCTGATCATATTATTTGACCCAATAAAATAAATATACATTCTGGGGAAATTTGTTTTTAGGGACACTGAGAAGTTTCATTCTGTTCACATGTTAGTTTTAGAAACTCTTCAAGTTGCCCTTTTTCTGAGCTATACTTGTTCTGCTGTCTGGACACTGATGAAAAGGATGAATTCAAGGAAAACAGGATAAGATAAAAACTCGGCCCCCCGACTTCCTACCTGATAATTAAAGGCATTTTCTGTACTATAGCTATGTTTTAGATAGTAAGAAGGGCACTCTGGGATTTATGTGTAATGTACTATGATTTCCCCCTCAAGTAATGAGGAACAGATTCCTGGCTGGTGCTTCCAAATAGAATAGCTAGTTTTAAAAAGTGAAGCTTTCTGACAAGAAGCAAGAAAAGTTCGAACAAGACACTTTCGTTGCTATGAGACTCTTCCAGACAGATGCTTTCTTGACACTTAGAAAACTCACTCTGTTTCTCCAAAAAGAGCCAGTAGGGAGAAAAATTGGTCCAGCTGCTTATTAAATAATTTTGGCTCCAATTTTTTTTACAGCTACAATAAAAAACCCCAGAATTACAGAATTAAATTCTCCATAAAAGGTTCCTGACAGAGGCACCCTTCAAAGGGCTATACTCCAATTTCTAAAGCTGTCTGGGGAGGGAGACTGGGGCTTCCACAGCCAAGACGGACACATCTGTGACAGTCTACTTTTCCAGCCAGGGCTGTCTGAGCTGCTAGGGAAATCCATTAAAATCGTAACCATTTGTTCTGGAGAATTGCTTAATCCTAAGGAATTGGAAAGAATACTTCATTTCATTCTAAAGGTACATTTACATGGTAACCTGATCTAAGACACGTATCACACTTGAGGAAACTGTCATTGTTATCATCTATATGTGCAGAGAAGCCTATGTCTCAAAACAAAGTCTGGAAGCCACCAAGCAGATGAAATGCCTAAACCTCCCAAAACTGAAACTTTCAATGGTTCTAAACCACCACCTGCAGATTTTTGGGGGCCATATCAGGGATTGAATTTAGGACCTCGCACTTGCCAGGCAGGCGTGGCACCACTGAGCCACATCCCTGGCCCCTGCAGATTTTTATATGAAAAATTTTTCAATGACCGATTTTGTGACATCTTATTAAGGATGAAAGAGGACAAAGAGAAACAGAGAGAATATAAGGAAATCTCAATTGATGGAAAAAAAGTTTTAGTTACTACTATTTGCCTCCTTTTTGTTCTTGGTATCACATTAATCTTTCTTCATTCCAACATTCCCTTGTATTGACATTTAAAGAATGATTTTTCTGAGTTGAAAAATCACAAAACCAAGAATAACCTTATAACTTATTCTTTGAGTTTTAGAATCTCATTTTCCCAATTTATAAATGGGTATTGCAACTGTGGGGGTATTTTAAATAACCAGTGGCTCCCATATTAATTCCTGAAGTTCTCAGGGGCCTCCAAGAGTCACCTCCTTGACCTAAATACAGGTATGGTAGGAAGGGCTTATCATGAATAACAAAAGATGCTTCTCTCTCCCTGACAGGTTAGCTTGTTTTTTGTTTTTGTGATTTGACATAAAAAAGCACCCTGATGAGTAAACTACTCATTGGAAAATTATTCAAAGAATATAAACGAGGTTCTTCTCATTGACTAATTCTTTTCTTATTAAGCATCTTTGGAAGCCATATTAACACTATTGGTAACCAGAATTTGGCCTTTGTTTGAAACTTTTTATTATTAGGAAAAGACAGGAGCTTGAGGAAACTTCAAATATTGTAAAAAATAATATAACTATTATTAAAGTCAATAATAATAACAGGATGCCAGGCTAACAGTTTTTTTTTTTTGTACCGGGGATTGAACTTGGGTCCTTGGGCTTGTGGGGCAGGCAGCAGAACCACTGAGCTAAATCCCTGGCCCAGCCAGGCTAACAGTTACTGAGTATTTCTTCTGGGTGCCAAGCACTGTGTTCAGTAAAGGCAGTAGACTCACTAAAATCTTAGGGGAACACATGTCCCAGTTTGTCTGGGACAAGTTCATAATTATAAATGGGAACCCCTTTGACTCTTAGAAGTGTTGCAGTCTAAATGCTAAGTTATATGGTCATCCTATTTAATACTTACAGCTACTCCATGTTAGTTAGCTAGTCAGTCATTCCTACTACCAGTTCTTTTTACATAGAACACTTCTCATACCAACTCTGTGGGAACCTCTCCCTAACACCAACCAGTTCTCTCTCTAGAGATCAACTGAGTACCCAATGATTCAATTTGGTTCTGACACTACTTACCCAGGGTTAGTGCAGACCCTAGAGTTAAAAGCTCAATCTTACAAATGTCCCTCACTTTAGATGACAAGTGCAAGACTGGGCTCCCTTATCTTTTTGGTATAAGTCAAAGGTTCCCCCTTCTTCAGGTTTGATAATTTGCTAGAATAGCTCACAGAACTCAGAAAAGTAGGGCCGGGGATTTAGCTCAGTGGTTCAGCTGCCTGCTTTGTAAGCGCAAGGTCCCAGGTTTGATCCCCGGTACCAAAAAAAAGAGAAAAACACTTACTTACTATTACCAGTTTATTATAGAGGACAAAACTCAAGAATGGCAAATGGAAGAGACATACAGACCCATTTGGGAGGGACTTGGAGCTTCTCAGTTCGAGGTAT